ATGTTAAATAGTTTCTTGGGGTAGAAATTACGATTTTTCTATGCAGTTTTATCGTTCACGGTCATGACGGTACTACAATGGACGGTGATCGCCATCTTTATTTTCGTGTAGGTCCTAGGCCCTATTGCGTTTTGTCGTTGACATTTTACTCCCAAATATCCCTCAAAAATTCAAAACCTTCCCTCTATCTATGACATATCTGCATGTTCTTTGTCGCCAACTAGTTTTGGTAGGTCATAAAGTTTGAATATGGATTTTGTTCTCTTGTAGGGAACCGGGCCCGTAGATCGCCTAAACTTCAACTTCAAGTTTAAGTGCCCCACTTTTGACAAAACGGATTTTTTTTAGGGGAGCCGGTGTAGCGTGAATATCCGACTCCATGAAATGTGGACACATTGGTAGTAGTGCGCACGCGTGAGTACGATACTATGCTATTTTAGGATCGTTTGGGGAGAGTGACCTGTCACGTGCGAGGTATTAACCAATAAAAGGGAAAAAGGGGTCCGATTTTCATAGCAGTCGGATTTTCATGTGACACCGGGGCGCAGTGTTTTTATTTGCAGCACACATCGTCAATGGGTCATGATTATTGAGCAGAAAAATAACAATGACGTCACGCTATTGCTATCACTCAGTCGTGCAATGTACATTAAAGCATCATATTAACAACGGCTTTCTTGGAGTGAACTATAATTCGCAAGATCTGTGATTCGAACCCATGCCCGTTTTCATCAAATATTTTTTTGTTGGTTGGGTGGTTCAAGGGAAAACACTACGAGAACCCAAGTGTCTTCCATCCACACAGCGTGATAAACATTCATGTTAGGGTGCGTCAGTGTTTCCCCTGGCTAATGAACTGAGCGAGGTGGTAACAATTCAAGTTGATGATTGAAACAAAATTTACGCAGTCTGTAGACTGAAAAGAATGCAGCGCTCACAAAAATGCGCGATGATTCCAAAAACACATCGAAATTTTTAGTTCTTGATACATGGAGGTAAAGGAAAATGCTCATATATTACACAAAATTAATTTTTTTCAATTGATATTTCCTTTTTTTGCCAATCTTCACAACGAGGTGGCGATATTGGCAAAAATTGAGCGGGGTGGTCACTGAAAGTAGCGAGTTGGGCCACCTCACGTTTGAATGGGCAGGGGAAACACTGGGGTGCGTGATGTGATTGGTTAAAACATAATGTATGCTGCAGAAAAAATACGCGGCCGGGTCGTGAAAGTTTTTTTTCCCATAAGAGATCGAACAATTTGAAAAGGCAGGGGGCGCTCTCTCTGCGTTATACATTATTCATGATATCAAGGGTTTTGAGATAATAAGTGATAATAACAAGGAATAATGTCTTTAAATCACCGACGATTGCGGGGCAGCTAACCTGTCGACTGGTTACGTTCACAGTAGTCTCGACTTCTAATCAGAGTTCGAATCCCAGTGAGCGTTGTTCACTTCTTTTCATTTTACTTTTAAATAACCAAGGTGGGGAACTAGGAAGGAACATGTCTCACAAGACGTAAAGCCTGTCTTAGGTTTTGGAGAACAATGCATTGGATATGCATGGAGCAATCAGAAGATGGGAAACGGATGTCCTTTGTGAAAAAAAAAATCGCGCCCGGGGCAGGAAACACTCTTAGCTCTTAAACCTGTAAATTAGTGCGCGTGAGCTCATTAATATTTTGCTACCCCCCCCCCCCCAGTGAATTTTACATAAGAGGTCCTTGCTTTCTTTATAATTATGATAGATTGTACAAATATTTTAGGTCAATCAATTAAGCATTTTTGACTTGTGGCTTCAAACTTTTTTTCGAAATTTTCGATAGGGTCTATTTCTCATAGAGGCGGGGGGGGGGGTACATTTAGACCTGGGCCGGGCTAGGGATTGACAAGGGTTGTTTTGGGCAGGGGAATATAACAAAAAAATGGACCCGGTTACCACTAATAAAATTGAAAAGAAAAAATGTCCATCTTTAATTTCCAGAGAAAGATAATTTGTGCGTGCGTACTAGTATGTGCGCCGCGCAGATATAATGCAGTAATAGAGTACCACTGCTTCTTGGGATTTTTCCAAAGACCTTGGGAATTTTGGTGGTAAAATAATTAACGATTTAAGGTCAGCGCTTGCTACATATCAAATCAGATACGTTTAGTAAACTGTTTTTCATTGCCTTGGGAATTTTTGGCCATGCGCCGTACAAACTTTACGCGCCGCGCGTTCTGATCATGGTGACCGTTTTAGCCAATTCTCAGCTAACTTTGACAGAAAATTTGACAGAATGGAATTTGTTGGCAGATTTCTGGCCGAATTCTGCAAAAATGATTATTTAATAGAAAAACATAGCAAATTTAAAAAAAAAAGTACATTTGTTTAAAAAAGCTTCAATATTTACACGCAAACCCTTGCAATCATAATGGGAAAGGTTGTTTAGTCTAGGTATTGGGGTTCACTGGGAACCGGACTTCGTCGTGATGCCACCGCATTTTGCCTGAAATTTACGCAATTTCATAACATCTTTAAGCGACTACAGATTGTGTTTAATGTAATTTGAACCTTTATTAAGACAATACTACAACGTCTGCATGTGATTTTAAGTATTTATAGAGTCTTTCGAGTAATTCTTGGAAATTTGGCAGAATTTTGATACATTTGACAGATTTTTGAAGTGCATTTAGGCAGAATATTGCCATAACCGTACGGTCACCCTAGGCCTAGCTAGCTCTGAGTATCTTTGGCGCTCTGATGATCGATCAGTTAATTCGATCAATAGCATGCAGCACGTCTACTGAGCACGTCCTTTCATATACTGCGATGTGAGCTAATACTATACTACTAAACTTTTCAAGGCAAGAATTACATTTTTTTTTTTAAATATTTTTTCATTTAACTTATTGCAGTAGTATTGTATGCTACTAAAATATGTAGAACATTGTATTTTGTGTTTTCTGTGAGTAAAAAGTCGAAATCACAACGTCACTAAATTAAAAACATGAACGAGGCTGAGTAAGTTTTACATGTTTTACATTAGGCCTACCAAAACAAGACAAACGCCCATCGTCCAAAAAGTGTTGCATCTAGACGCCACTTTTTCATTGATAAATAAGTAAATATAGGGCCTAGGCCTAGCCTACATGTCAATCGGTGCAAAAACGTTGCAAAGAAAAGACGTTGTGATCTCGAACTCGAAGTGATAAACTTTTTTTTATTTGGTTACAAAACACCTTTGAAACTCCACTCTTCGGATTTATTTATTACAAAAAATCATTAGCAAACCCGGGTTTGGAGACCTAAAGTTTTACAACCACCCGATTTGCGAATTCGAGAGTGAACTTGTCACATCTTTTTTCAGGGTATAATATTTTCTGAAAAATGACTCGAATTATTTATATTATGATCATGCCTTCTACAAATGTTGTCGGTGATTTTTATTTCGTGTTGTTTTGGTCATGTAAAACATTTAGAACTTCCTCAGCGCCTCGGCATGCTTGGTACCCATATTGGCGCTATTAAATTATTATTTTATATGGCCAGCGTCCCAACGCGAAACCCACACATTTCATTGGCTTAAAGTTGAAATTTGCATACCCCTGACCTTTCACACCTTGCATAATTATCCCTTATATGGCAATCAACTGACCCGATCTATACATAACTGGAACCTCTCGCGCGCGCGCAGCAGGCCGGCTGCTATGAAACGCCAAAAAGTCATTTTAATGTGATCAGTGAATCGGACAATCGGTGATGCACTTCAGCAATCGGTGATGCACATTCACGATAAAATTTCGAAAAATTATTCGAAATACCCTATAAACACTTAAAATTACATGCAGATGTTGTAGTATTGCCTTAATGAAGGTTCAAATTGCATTATAAACAATTTATAGTCGCATAAAGATGTTATGAAATTGCGTAAATTTGCGGTTGCGTCATGACGAAGTCAGGTTCCCAGTAAATCTCAGTACCAAGACTAGCTTTTTTTTTAAAATGTACCATTTTTTTAAAATTTGCTATGATTTGCGTCATGACGAAGTCATACCCAGATAGCAAGGACATGTTGGGCCAACATAGGTTAGTAGAGTTGGCCCAATGTTGGCTTTCCACGTCGGCCCCGCTTGGATCTGCTCATCGGGGCAATGTTGGCCCACTATGTTGGTAGAATGTTGGACCAATGTCGATTAATAACCTCGGGCCAACTTTAACTTTGTAATTGGCCCAACAGTACATTTGTGCTTGGGGCAACGCTCAATTTAACTGTTGGCCCAACGTTGGTTTTCAACGTTGGGCCACATTTTTGGATGTTCATTGGGCCACAGTGGGTGTTCAAATGTTGGTCACATGTTGGGCCAATGCAGACGGCCAATGCAGAGGACCAACATCGGGCCAATTTTTAATGTTGTCGTTGGCCCAACGTTAGTTTACAGTTGGGCCATTTGTATTACCAGCCCCCCCCCCCCCCCGGGGCAGGTGCAAATACGCATATTTTGCAAACACTTTCCAACGAAGCTCTCTGAGTGAATTACGCAAGACAAATAAGGATCTTTAAACCTACATGGCCCAAACATGGAATCTAGGTGTTTCAAAGCAGATTGATAGTAAAACTTGGCAACCGACAAAACGAGAACTGGCTAAATTATTCCTGAACATTGAATGTAGACTGAAGACAATTGAGTGAACTGGTCTTTGTTTCAACAAACTTTAATATCACGCACACTTTGCTTTACAGAGGAAAAGAAAGGGAACATAATACAGTGCAGTACCTATAAGTAAAGTCAAGAAAATTTTAACCATCACTTTTCTTTCATTAATGGACGCGCATATCTTGCTACACCACTTTAATTAAGTTCAATTGTACAATTATAAGGACAAGGGTGGATCTGATTGAGTTATGACATACTGGTAGATGAATGCTTGTTTTTCTGTAAAAGGTATATGGTTGAAGTAGGCATAATACATGTATTTAGTGGAAACAGGGGAAGGCGTGACCTTATGTAATACCACTTTTCATGAAACGCTGTATTCCTACTTGATGCATAAAGGCTTGCTGCTGAAATATGTAATGTCAAACATGGTAAGTTGACATGGCATATAACTATAACAATGAACTTTCATTTTGAAACTCAAGCAAAATAATAATTGCCTATAACTTGTTTCAGATTTAGTTTGCTTTGAACCAACAGGCAACTTATATTGTGGGCTAACGCAGACAATTAAGGCACCAAACTGACTTTGCTTGTGCCACCTGTCAAGTCTTTGCTCAACAAAATGAAAGAGATACCATAATTGGAATTTGTGGTAATCAAGATATTTCAAAACTCTAAAGATGGGCTTATTACAAAAATGACTCTTTTAACACAAACAATCTTTTACTTTTCACTTGTGATCAAACAGTGTTGCTTACAAGCCAAACGTAGGATTAATACTTGGGTTAAACAACTTCAAGTAAACACGAACAAAAGATAGAAACTGTTATTCATAACACAACCCTGATGAAGTGACTCATAACTACAGATCCTAGATTATCTGAGAATGTAACAAACTTATTTTTCAGCTTATCTAAAGTCTCCAGTTTTAAAGAGGCTGCACTCGTTGATGGACCTTACCGCGGTTTTTCTAATTTTCATCACTGGAGCCGTAGTCTTCGGTTGACTCCTGACTTACACTTGGTGCAGGACTGTTAACACTGGACTGACGTGCAGCTCTTCTAGCCCTTCCACCGTCTCTGTCTTTCGCATAGCGCAGCCAATCCTTGATGATGGAGTCTATCTCAGCGTTGGTTGCCGATCTGACTGTAGGGTTTCTTCGTACAGCCCCTGCATTCATTTGAGAAACAAATGGGAAGTTGGATGACTGTTAAGAAAAAAAAAATGAAAAATGGCACCAAGCAAGTATGAAGTTTCAATGTGAACAATTCGGTAACCGAATTCAATGTTATTAACTTCTCTGTTACACAGAGTTTTGTCTACCTTCTGACGAGTCACCTTTCATGTCATTTATTGTAGTTCTCTGACATTACAGTAACTAATAGTCCTCGTTCTCCTCACTGACTGATACTTACGGTGTATAACATTGACCATACGAAGTTTACAGAAAGCCTCCTTAGTGCCCTTTCCAATCCAGTTGTATTGCTTCGCAAGATCGTTTGTAAGGACGCAGGCAAGAATTCGTCTGACTGTGCTGCCTAGATTCTCCCCACCGATGTTGGATAAGTATGTAACCTGTATAAAATTTAAAAAAAAAGGAAAAAGAAATCAACAACATATATAAATAGATAACACAAATTGTCGGGAACCTCAGCAGTGGAGAATAGAAGTCCCAGCTGCTCTCTACATTAGTTTTGTTCTCAGGGGACCAGGTTACTTTCAATGTTCTATTGTCTTTCTTAATAGACACACATGGAGAACAATTTGCTATCCTACTTGAAAAACTGATGACTGTTTTCAAAAGGCAAGATTTTCCAAAAATGATTGTTGCTGAAAATAAATAGAGTGAAAGTTTCCAACAATTTGACACAATGAAAAAAAATCCATGACTCACCAAGAGCTTCTCCTTCTCAAAGTTTTGAACAAGGCCCTCAAGTTCTCTCACATCCTTCAATAACTTCAAAGGAAATGTCACTCCTTCTGGCAGACCACCATTCTCAAGGTCCCGCTCTGAGACGTTGACTTTTCTCAAAATCTGGATGAGAATGGCCCGGTTCTCTGCAGCGATCATATTCGACCGTTCTATCATTGTCAGTATTTTCTTCTCGGTTGCTGATGAAAAGAGAATAATATCAACTTTCAATAAGTGCGTTAATTCTTAATTACTTGTTAAGTACAGTTTCATGAGAACTAACGCTTTTATCATGGGTATGCGTACGAGCACAATGACTTCATAAAATAGGAAAGTCTGTGAGTACTGTACAAGGGCTCGCTGCGGGTACGAGTACAAGGTTATTTGAAATTGGTATGAGAACATGAACAAGTTGTATATTTGACAAGAACTTTTACAAAAAATAAAAGCAAGTACAGGTACAAGTTTCAGTCCTATATAACAATACTGATTATGACAGGTAACTTCAGAAACAGTGGAATGGACCACCTCTGGTCACTAACGTTCAAGTCCTTATCCAAATACCTGTGCAAGGTGAAAAGGATCTGGGAAGATTGAGGCTCCCAGATGGTGAGGTAGGCTGAATCAAGCTCCCTGAGGGTGATCCGGACTGAATGAGGCTTGCTGGTGGTGATGGCACGAATGAAGTTGAAGTTGCTGGGATGTTAAACATGGTCTTCTGACTGTTGGCTGCCTGCCTTGGAGTCATTTCTTCATCTGATGATGAATCCATCTGGTAGCGTGGGTTTGGCCTGAAAATGTATGTAAAAATAGAAATAACTGGACCACCAAACAAATAATACAAAAAGTTGTCATGTTGGCAATGTTAATGGAGGTACACTGATAGGATTTCACTGTTCATTCCAGTGACAACTTAGTTGGTCAGAATTTAACGAGATATCACGTTTTATCTTGTCCTACTGACTAACCTTTTTACAAGATGATTGAAATCCTGTCTTTTTAGATACCCAGAAGTCTTGCCAGTGTTACAATTTCAGTGTGGCACGACAAGTTTGTGTTTTCTGAAAAGTTTGTGTTTCATGCAATCACCTGCATGTATATCGAATGACAGGAAATTACCGAGTACTGCACATGATCCGCAGTGGTTTAAATTGCTAAGACTGAGACATGGAACCCGAAAGCTATGTATTACATTTAGTTGCCTAAAACAATACTGTGTGATTTTTCACATATCTGAACACACTCGGAATTAGCTTTCAGAATTCTACGGGCTTTTACAATGAGCAGCTGGGAACAATATTCTACAACTTACCTCTTCCTTCTCTTAGGTGGCACTTCAGTCTCTGCTTCCGTTGCTAGGTCAGAGGTGTCTTGTGCCTGTCGCACTTTAGCCCTACCTTTCTCAAAAGCGGCTGGAAGAAATGAAAGGATTTAAGAAATTAATTTTTTGGCTGAAAAATTTGAAGAAGTACTCTCTTCTACTGCCTTTGAGGCCTAATCAGAGGAAAGAATGTGTGTTTTATTTTTTTGCCTTTGAACTTATACAAGTTGCTGTTGAATAGGCTTCTTGCTGTCCTATGTCTAAAATTATAAATAACATTTACAAGTCTCTGGGAATTTGTTTTTTAACCAAACACATCACATTAACTGTCAAGCAACTGAAAAAAATGCACAGAGGCTACTTGCAGCCCATGCCTAGATTTATTTAACACCATCAAAGTCCAAATACTATTTTTAGACATTTAAAGACGGGTATGTTTTTTTAGAAGCTGCAGCTGATGCTCTTAACCATGGTGTAAGCAAATGTGTCAAGATCAAAACATCACCTGTTTTTAGCAGCACACGGCAGGGGAACTGCTCATATTCATCGTTGGTGGGTGCCTCGCACTTCTGTACAGCTTTATCAATTCTGCTTTGTGACTTGTACTTTGTAGGCCATTTTACCATTTTGTCTTGTTCTGCCAGCCAGTTTTCGGCAACTAGTGACACAGTGCCCACATCGACAAACTCGACAACTGCGTACATTTCCCCTACGAATCAACTGGGGGTATACATTATTTGGAGGAGTAATTTTTTTTTTATGAAATAGGAAAAGACATTTTTGAAACCATGTTCATTTTTCAAAACAAAAAAAACAAGGAAAAAACTCTAGTCCACTTCCATATAATAAGTTATTCTTTTGCTACAATAAAAAAAAACTTAAGCTGACACTAAAATCAGTTTCTCCTTTTACATTGTTTTCATCGCTTTATGGACAGAATGAATTCATGAAACTTACTACCCTTCAACAGCAGCCTGGAAACTACAACAAAAGCAACACATGAAATACTCAGAAGAATGGGAACCATGGAAATTTTTTTTTACCAAATTTGATGAGACAGAGCTATAACCAAATACCTTCTTTTGCAGGGAAAGATGACACATTTACATTTAATTTCTGATAAGTAGCATGTATGGAGCACACCATCAAGCTTAGCAACTCTGTGTATTCCCAAACACCCCGAGGGTAGAGGATAATCAAAAAAGTCTTCTACAGTTTTGAATGCCTCGTATACAATAGTTACTTGGCCATTCCACAAAATGTTTCGAACAACACACACGCTGTCTTTCACTTTGATGCAACTATCACTGGGAGTTGATGAGATACTGTATGAGTCAAGATGCAGTTCTGTATACTGCTGACAGCCCTTGGTGTTAGGTGGCAAAGGACCATTCATATGTTGTTTCTTACATTCAGGTTTGGTTATTTTCTGCCCACATGAACATGTTTGTCTTGGGGCCTTGTCCTCTGAGAGACGTCGAATGACCTGTTGAAGGGGTGAGGATGGTTTTCTGATCAGTCGTTTCAGCTGATGAAGAAAATTCTCGTACGGAAAACTTGAAATATTATCAAGTGGGCCAAATTTATTTGCATCATTTGCCAAATGGAGCAAACCATGTACATTATATACAAGTTGATTTCTGCCATAAATGCAGTGTTCTCCAACATGTACAACAAACCTGGCGCCCCGCCATGTTTTAGAAGTCGCCCGCCATGTTTTAGAAGTCGCCGCCAAGCTTTAAAATCCAGCCGCCAGGTTTAATTTTTTTGACTCTACAGTGTACATTTACAACTAAATGAATTTAGAAACAAGAATGACCACATCTTTTTCGAATAAAATTGAATGACTTCCCGCTGAACCCTAGTCCTGGCCAAGTTAGCGATGCGCACGGAGTTCTCACTTTATTTCTTCAATGATCGATGCAGTTAATTTAGTCTGGTTCTGACTATTTCGTTCTCTTCTATCATCATATTATTCAAGGGATCGTCTAGTAACCAGATGCACCATTTTTTCACGCAAAAAATGCTACACGACCTACGTACTGCACGTATACGTTAACACGTGCATACTGCTGCTGGACTGCAGGCCTAGCCTGAGCATGCGACGTGCGTGTTTAAACACGTTTGCGGAATTTGCAGCGGGCACGCACATGGCGTGCATCGTCGTTAATAGTTTTAAACATAAACTTCGGGGCCAAGGCTAACTTTTATTGCATGTTGTATTCCATGAACTTCAGTTGTAGATAATGAGGCCTTATAATATAATAAAATGTTTCTTTTGCTTACCAGTAAATTAAGCTTATTAATTAAAAAGATGAAGCTTTTGTTTCGAAAAACTCTAGGTCTCCGTTTATTTTCAAATATGTCTGATCGTGAATGATATTTTTATAAGCCATACGTCCATCCAGTCATCAGGCGAACATTGTTTGTAGGTGCTCTCTGTGAACAAAATCTCGTTTGGGTCACGTGCATGTAGAACTCGAGAGCCGACCCATCTGATAGGAATGCATGTGGCCACCGAAAATAAGGAATGCACTGACGACTCATGCCGTAAAAAGTTAATTCATATGTCCCATTGATTTTTATGTCGTTTAGTTCCAAATTATGACGTAGCCCAATTTGCTTCGCACAAGGATTTAGCAACAAAGGAGTTTCTAGCTTTACAGGACTTAATAGGAGTTTTTAAATGTGTAATGTTATAAAATGTAAGTCCTGGTGTGAAGTAAAACAAGCCAAGAATATGATCTGAGGAAAAGTTGCATGCCCGTTAGCATTCGCGTAATGAGCATGAACCGGCCTCAACGACTTCGTGATATTTCTGTCCACACTGCGCGCGCGCCGAACGAATTTGGGTGGCATGATGATGACCCAGTGATCTAAAAGAAGGAACACATTGTATTACTTTTGGTATTCGGGGACTTAATTAACCACATGTGGCCGGGGGCGCGCTCCCAGAATCTTGATCGTAATTAGTAGGCTATCGTATGTAAGCAGGTAGCGTTAGCTGTTTTCGGTGTAGCGCGCGTCATGGCAAAACGCAATACTCTTTCTGCCTTTGGATTTGTTCCCCTGGACCCGAAAACCCCCAAACGACTAGCAGTGCCTCCAGAGCCAGGAGATGAGCAAGCAAGAAACAAACACAGGGAGTCGTTTAGTGAGAGCTGGGGCAAAAAGTACACGTGGTTGGAGCATCGGCTTGATGAAGGTAAGCTTCCACAATACGATACAGTTATGGCAAACGCGTGTACGTACAGCCACTGAATTTTGCTGGCGCCCACAACTTTCCTGAAGCACTGCAGCATAGTAAGCTATGACTAACGGGCTGCAAGTACGAGCGGACACCCTCAAAATAAATAAAAATATTATTTTTTTTAAACTTAAGTTGAAATAGGGTACATTAGATTTTATTATCATTTTATATTTAGCATTTTTATTATCCAAGCATTTTTAAGTATTTTGGGGGCCTAAGTAAATGGAGGTTATTATAGTTTAGGCCCAAAAAAATAGTTATGCTTCCGATTACATGCCTTTAAAAAAAGGGTCGGTCGGTTGGAATTTTTTTTATTGGCCAATTTGTTATGCCGATTGAATGGGGTATTCAATTATATGCGAAGTTTTAGCCTGAACTATTTCCATTGCACTACGAAAGCTATACAAAAAATTGCTACAAAAAGTGAATAAACCTACCTTAATTATTGTCAATATGTTTACCTTCGATAATTCTTAAAGAAATAATGGAAAATTCAGGTCGTGCGCAACGCTAGTCAAGACGGGAAACTGGCCATAACTCCGTAATGCATGCGCGAATGCAAGTGTGCCCAGCGGGCGACAGATCTCGTTTTTACGGTGGACAATTTCGGGGAAACACGCTGCACGTATCACTCCAAATGCCCTCTCAAAATGAACTCTTGAACACGAAAAATACATACACAGACAAGAGTTCATTTGACATCGCACTACTCGTAATTTTAGTGATACAATGCAGCGGGTTTCCCGAAATTTTCGACCATTAAACGGGTCTGTTGGCCGCGGGCCACACATGCACAGTGCATCATACATGTACATGTACTTCGTAGTTTTGGCCAGCTTCTCGTCTTGACTAGCGTTGTGCATATGTTGCGAACGACCTGAATTTTCCATTATTTTTTTTTAAAGAATTATCGAACGTGAATATATTGACAATAATTAAGGAAGGTTTAATTCCATTTTGTGTATAGCTTTCGAAGTGCAATGGAAATATTTCAGGCTAAAACTTCGCATATAATTGAATACCCCATTCAATCTGCATACAAAAATTGGCCCCCCAAAAAAAATCCGACCTACCGACCCTATTTTTGAAAGGCATGTAATCGGAAGCAGAACTATTTTTTTTCGGCCTCATCAATTTAAAGCATGTTTTTTTATATTCACTTGAGAGTTTCCAAGATTTGCTCACAAGGGTTCAACAGCTTGTTCCTAGTTCCAGATCGCAAACATTATTCCGTCTGCTTCAGCAGGCTCAACTATTAAATCCATATTACTACCACACGCATGTGTAATTCGGTCCTGGTCCTATACACTCCGATCCTCCGATCCTACATGTGTACGATCCGGAACTAGGCACAAATTAGTGTACTTTCATTTGTTGGCGAATTTTCAAATATTAATAAGGCTTTAAAAGCTCATTTAGATTCAACAAACATTCGATGCAAGAGTTTTAAGAAAGTATGAAAAGAAAATATTTGAAATCACATGCGGAGGCCTTTCTCTTTCTGAGTTATGTACCGAGGATAGAACACTTATCGTCGAATGGCGGCTCCAGTGATTTTATACAACCATATAAGCTGTGCCTATAGGCCTACAATTCCTTTAAAAAAAATAATCGCCTTTTCCGATAGGTATGTTTTGCTTGCTTTGCGAAAAACATCGACAATCAAGTAAAGCCGCCGTCTGGACAAAAACTGGATGCAAGACCTACAGAGAAGAGGCAATAAAAAGCCACCTCAACTCTGCTACACACCAGGTTTTAATCCAAGTTGAGGCAGATTTGATCGCATCATGTGCAAGTGGTGGAATCACCGGAGCGATTTCCAAAGCCATTTCCCTTGAGCAACGAGCTTTTCTCGCTTCAATTCAGGCCATGTATTGGCTGTTGAAGAATGAAATTGCTCATACTACCAACTTCGAGTCCTTGTTGCAGCTGCTTCAAGATGTTGGGTGCCGCTACTTGGAAAGCCTCCACATAAATAAACGGACAAACTACACATCGGAGAGGACTATGCAAGAAATTGTATTGAGCATAGGTGAGTGTTTAGATGGGTATTAGTGTATTAAATATATTTCTTTTTCTTGCAACAGAAATCACTTTTTTTTCATAAACATTGTGTCAGAAGACAGTCCCATTGAGATTCATGTGGCAAAATTCAGAGATACATAAAGTAAGTTTATGACTTTTGGAACTATCGCCGCTATCGTTGGCTTTTTGATCACTTTACAGGAAACATGTTGAAGAATGAAAAGCTAGCTGAGATAAAAGCCTCTCCATATTTTGCCCTTCTCTGTGATGAAACAACAGACGTTACAGTGCTGGAACAACTCATCGTGCACATAAAATACCTAGACTGTGTGGAGAGAGAAACAAAAGTCACATTCCTGGAGATAAATGAAGTAAGTACTGTACAGTGTACATATCATTTTGCGCAATTGTCAGATGTGCCTGAGTTTTCATATTATTAGAAGTGATCTATTCTAACTTTTTTTTCTTGTTTGGCAGATTGCCAATTGCACCAGCGACGTCATCAAAGATAAGCTTGTTGAGGTTCTGAGGAGAACAGGCCTTGATTTCAGGTCCAAAATGGCGGGATTTGGCAGTGATGGCGCTTCGACAATGGTGGGAAGAATAAATGGTGTTGCGGCACAACTGAAGAGGGTGAGAAAATAATAATAAATCAATCATGATGATCAACTATGCACTCTGACACATTTTACTTATCGTGCCATCTATTAGTTTGTGCATTGTCATGCTAACTTATTTGTTACTTCCTTCAAGGAGTCGTCGATTATCATCTCTAATCACTGTGTGGCCCATCGACTTGCTCTGGCTGTTGGTGGAGCATCTGGAAAGGTTGACTATGTCAAGAAGTTCAATAACACGTTGGAGACACTGTACCACTTCTATGAAAAATCTTCTGTCAGGACAGCTGCGCTAAAGGAGATTCAGGTAAGCAGTGTTGATTAGATGGTAAAAATTAAAGCATTTTCTGATGCACAGGTTTTAGGATCTGTTTCTTTCACATTGCATTCACATTGCTCCAGGATTCGCTGCATGTGCCCTCATCTCGTCCCAAGAGGGCTAAGACTACCCGCTGGCTATCACATGATCAGGCATGTGATACGCTTTCAAAGACCTTGCCAGCAGTTATGGTCAGCCTGCAACGTGAAGGGTCGGAGAGAGGAGACCCTAAGGCCATAGGGTTGTCCCGGCTTGTGGAGGACTGGCGTTTTGTGGCCTGTCTCTACATGATGCTGGATATCTTGCCACAGCTGAGCATCCTTTCTAAAAGTTTTCAGGTAAAAAAAATAATATTTTGCTTATATTGCTTTAATCTAATATTTTTTATTGGTGGCATGAATCAGGAGTTTTTTATCTTACTATTTCTTTCACCTAT